TCAGGCCCGAGAAGTTCTATTCGAAATGTACGATAAGCCCCTCCAACACGAGTACGCCTCTATTGACAAGGCCTTCCTGGCTAAACCAGCCGGAGTGTTGCCCAAAGAACTTAGAAAATACCTCAATTTCATGAGTACAGCTTGCGCAACATTGTGTGTTCCAGACGAATATCACAGAATGAACCTATGGCCCCGTGCAGTCATTCTCTCGAACATTCCTGTGCAGTATCACGGCCATTTGTTAAGTTTAGAGGCCACAGCTGGTAAGACTCTAGGTTTCTTAGAAACTATAGCAGCTCTCCGCGTGACTTTGGATCAAGCATGCAATAAATCGTTAACTAGCCTCAATTCTAAATGCCCATCTGGTCGCATGAAATCCTCCAATCCACATTCCGATAGGTGTTGCATCCTATGTCAGGGATCGCACAGGAGTGCTAGTTGCACTTTGTACACATCAGCGGCGGCTAAGAGAGGCGTCCTAATGAAATTGCGGCCTTCTCCTTGTTGGATTTGCTTCAAGACAAGTCATCGCTCCAAAGACTGCACTATGCCCGGATGTTCCTCTTGCGGCCAAGACCACGCGCTATTCCTCTGTGCCAGTCAACAGCCTCATATATCAAGCCCGGAAGCTTCTTACACCTCGATCTCCTCAGAGCTCACAGAGAAACTACTCGCGATAGTGATCAAAGGTAAAACGCTTGAGTGTACTTCCCAAAAAGCTCTCCCAGATGCCAGGACACCAAAGTCAACACGATTAGATGTCGCTGCAAAATCCCGTCAAACACCAAAGGAAAACAAGAGATCAAGAAGAGGTCCTTAGATCAATACTCAGTTCTTATTTTGCAATCGATTTTGTCGACCTCCACCCTTTTTTATCGTCTTTTCATCTTTACGTTGAGAAAGACCGTAGATCAATACTTCTTTTTCTTTTTTTGCTAGCGATCATGTAGACCCCCCACCCTCTTTTTTTGTGTGTTCATCTTTACTTTTTTTTGTGCTAGGACTGCCACCTGTGTGTGAAGGTTTAAATTAGAATAAGTATTGTACTGTACTCTCCCAGGACATTGATACTGTTTTGTTTTGCTCTTCCTGTCTTCAGTTGAATAAAAGTGTTTGTTAGATCGTGCTGTTTTTTCTATTACTCCCATAGACAGAAACTCTCACACTTTCGATTTTCTGAATAGTTCCCTGATTTCTATTTCAAATAATTAAGAGTTAGAAACCATTCTTCTGAACTCTACAATTTACGTATCAACGAATAGAAGAGAAGGGTTGGATGATGAAATATGTGGTGCAATACCAATATAAGGCGGTTGGAAAAAAATTATTTCTTGAAGTGTAAACCTGTTGAACTTCTCTCAGAAAACCATTTTAGCTATACGGATTTGCAATTCTCCAGATAGTATAGCAGAAGTAGCTGGAAGGTTATTTCTGGTACTCGAATAAATACAAATAGTTTTTCTTCCCAGCAGCTGAAGTCAGTAATTAATGAAAATAAATTCGTTTGAAATACCTCGTATCCACGAGAAAAATGATTTCTAGTTCTTATAACTAATTCTAATCCTAAAGATGTAACTTCTTATTATAATCTTCGCTTCCTTCCATTGAAATACCATCCACGTGCTCCTATAGAGAGAATGTGTCATATGTCCTGTCACTTATCATAAGAAATTTTTACCAGGAATTGGAATATTGACATTAGCCGGCTGGCTGAATATCAAGTCACTTGCTATTGATGCCTTTTCTACTTTGAAAATGGGCCTGTTGATATCCCGTATGCAGTCCAAGCTTTTTAACTGAAAAGCTTCACGATATAGTTTTACTGATGTTGAACGTATACATTGAATGGTAGTCCTCCATGAACACAAAGAACTTTCTCTTCAATTAAGACGCCTAAAGGTAGGTAACCAAATGCTCTTTGGATAACATTCTCTATGCTTTTACATACTCTTTTTGAAAATCGATTCTAAAACTACAGCTGATTGAAGCAAATTATTTAATAGTTGCCTGAATGACTATGTCATACACTTCTGATGCTCCTCTAATCAGAAAGATTCGGTCGGGGTTCATTTGCTAGCAAACAGATAAGTAGATGTTGAGAACTATAAACTCTTACCTTAAGGGCAAAAACTAAAGCCATTTGTTCTAATGAATATTCAGAAGAATCACTAGTAAATCCACCAAGGAAAATTATTTTTTTCTTTGGTGGCCAACCATTAATCATCAGCCATCGATAAAGCTCACTGTAACCAATAGAATTCACAAGCGGAATAACAGTAGGCTTACCCATAATCGCTATCTAAACATCCATATATGTGACATTCACCACTTATTTCTATGAGCGAAGGTTCACTACGTAGAATGTCTGCTACACTATCGAAAAGGTCGCCCAACTTCAAAAACATAGAATGAGAGAAGGATTATCCTTTAGTTAAAACCTCGCATGGGTCGAAATTGAACTTGTATGGTCCATGCTCTATCAATCTTAATGCCATAGGAACCCTTTGAGTTGGAATTATTCGAAGAACCTCAAACAGTATTTTCAAGTATGAATTAGGGTAGACCGTACTTACAGGTTGAGGATTTTCTTGATCTCGCTTGTACACAGCAACTTCAGCTATCAATGAAACTTTAGTTTCAATAGAAGCTACATCATCTTTAGCTTTCACCACCTAGAAATTCATCAATGGATAGAATTCATCTAAATGTTCCTACTTTGCGCTTTTCCATTGTTCTCAGAACTTCGTTTAGCTCCTTGATGGTTGCGAAGCGTGGAGAGACTTTATGAACAGCCGGATTTTTCACTTCCTATACTAAACATCTGTTATCCATAGTTACTTTTACTCAAACATCCAGCTGCCATTTAGTTTCAGAATGTAAATCATGAGCCTTTTCAGCACGACGCAAACTTCCTAGTCGTCGTTCGCTAAGTAACCTGAAAATTCAAAACGTTTTCTGAAATAATCGATCCTACTAACTCGCTGGCGATTGGAATAGCAGAAGCCACAATAAGAAAGTAAACAACAATTGAAGGCCATGCCAAAACAAAAGATTTGGAGATGGATTTATCAATTCGTATAACCTTAAATGGATATTAAAAGAAAAAATTCAGGAAGGTACCGATAATGCTTCTAGACGCGAATTACAGAAATCGTAGGTACAACATAAGAGTGCACCTTTCACTTTCTCCTGAAAAGAATTAATCCATCGTGTGCGTAATGAATTCTCTCAATCTACATTTCCGATTTCTACAGTATGTTCAGGATCGTATTCTAATAAATTAATACTGCACTTTTTTGGCAACAAATGATCATATGAACAGCCAATCAAGTGTTTTCCTGGTGATTTCTCATCTGATCTTAGAAAGAAGCTCGGTTGTCATATAGTGCACTATGAACTTACAAAGCAACGACATAGACACACACAGGATTAGAACCATTAACTGAGGAGTACGTGACAGGTGACATATTCTTTCCAGTATAACATTGAAGAGCATTCTGAATGAATCATTCAACTATATAGATAAACACTAATCACCGAAGCATGAAACAGAATTACAAAACAGAACAACCGCATTCTCATTTTGAACGATGAAAAATGACTTTTCAGGCTTTGTATTTTCAAGCAGACGGGTTCATTCCGCGCAATGATTGTTCCGTTTTCAGATCGATCATATATTGAATGGAATAATATTTGTGTTTCGCCTAAGCCTAAACAAAAAAAAACATTAGAAGAGAAAGAAGTTGTTCGCGTTTAGAAAGAGGGCGTAAATACGCATCATTACTTTAAATGGATTTTAGTTGACGTCATTTTGATCAATTGAGAACTCCACAATAATAGATGCAGCTTAGATATTTGCATGATATCATTGTCAGAATGAGAATAGATGAAAATGGGAATAGGATGGAATAAGCTGAAGGAAGAAAACATTCTAGTAGGGATGCAGAGTAACTGACGTCATTTGCGTGGGTTGTAACAGCCTGGATGAATGGCCAAAAGCTAAATATGGTTAGAGTTCATTAGTTTTGGTGAGAGTAGGAAATAACAGGCAAAAATGTTGGATTCCGAATATTGAAAGCTGAGGTTTCGACAGAAAGCCCTAAGGCATCACATGAAAATGAGAGGGTTGCAGAGAAGAAAAGAGAGAGTACGGACATGCAGAGGCAGATTCTAGCAAGAGGGCGGGGCGCCATAGGCTTGTGAAGGGCCCCGAAATAAACTGAAAACTCTGACTATGTTCCGTTTGTGTGATGGGGCTGTGACCACGAGTAGAGCTGATGATGTCAGAAGACGTAATCATTCATTTCTATATTATATAATATTATGTTATATAGATAAGCTTTATATATATATGTATAAAGGTATTTGTCTCTTACCAAGCCTCTCACTATGTCATATAGTTAAGATAGATACATGGACGTACATATATATATATATATATAAATGTAATATATATAAGAAAATCATATAATATTGATATTTTTATTCTTTCTTTTTTCTTTTTGTCTCTCTCTCTCTCAGACACTCTCTTTCTCTCTCTATCTCAATCTGTATGATCGTATTGATCACATTTTATCTGACAACAATGAGTTTGAAACGCATCTTTTTCAGTGTGTGTTTCTCGTTTTATACAGCTCGCACATGTTTTTAACTTTCCTAGTCAATTCTCTTTTTCTTCACAAAAATCTCTTTATATACACACACACACATATATGTATGTATTGATATTGTGCTATTCTCTTGTCTCAATTTATATGTTCTCATCATCTTTCTCATAGTCGTCGTCGTCTACATCATCGTCTACATCAACGACATTCTTGTAAACGTCTTTTCAGGAAATAATTATTTTTTCAACGCTATAAGAATGAAAAGAAATAATGAATATCCAGCAACAAGCAGCAGCACAGCAGAACTCACTCAAAATCAGGTTTGTCTCTCACTTCCCCTTTACAAAACCTCTTCTCTCTCTCCCTCTCTTTTTACATATAGACAAAAAAACATTTTTCTTTTCATGCTTCTGTTCTATATAATCCAAATTTTGCATAGACGTTTTCTTCATACTTAAATGTATATGAAGAAGATAAGCAGCTTGAATGTTTTTGCTTTTCCTTCTTCTTCTTCCTCGTCTTCCCGTTTTGATTACTTGCTGTCTACAAGCCATGATAGCCTTTTCATTCCTCAAAATCTTGTTGAAATCGTCTAATTTCATTACACAAACAACTGTAAGACAAGATCATCCTTTCTCTTTTCCTTTTTCCTTTTTTTTTTGGTATTTTCTGAGTTGAAAAGGACGCTAAGAGAAAGAAATGTCGAATGTGTTGGCCCACAGTTGTCTTGCTATAAACGATAAGCTGGCGCGAATTCTGTTATATTTTGAATTGTTTAAGATCGATCGATTGAGATCTGTTCTCAGCGAGAAAGTGGAAATTCATGGACGTGGCAACTTTCCAACAATATCAACTCCTTTGATTAGCATAGTCAAACATCTGAAGCATAGATTATGGTAAGAATATATCTAAAAAATGAATGAAGATATTTCTTTTTTGTTACAGTCTTGCAGGAGTATCGCCTTTGCATGTCAAAGTAAATGGTGGGGCAGCTTCGTATGTTGTCTCGCAGCACGATTTCACATTTTCCGACTTAGATCTTATTTTTGATATGAAATCTTCAACACAAGGCAGTTTTGATCAGGTACTAATCTTATTGATGAATGATAAAAAGTAAAAAAAAATTATTTTCCTTCTTAAGGTTCGTTCAGCGGTGTTTGCTACAATAGCTGATTTGATGCCCGGAACGGCAAATAAGGCAAAAATAGATGTTGACATTTTGAAGGATGTTTATATGCGCAAAATGGTGAAGGTAAACTTTTTTTTTCCAAACAAAAAGGCGAAATAAATGAAAATATTCATGTTTAAGGTTTGTAATGATGACGATCGCTGGTCGCTCTTTTCACTGAACAACGATTTTGGAAGATGTATCGAATTGAAATTTGTTGAGCGAATGAAGAGACAGTTTGAATTCTCTGTCGACAGCTTTCAAATAACTCTTGACACTTTAATTGATCATTTTGATGATTTAAAAGCTGTGCCAGTTAATGTTGAAAGCAAGTATGGTGATATTCGTCAGGTACTAATTGCATTTGCATACATATATATGGATATACATCATGTGCCATTTTAGGCTTTAACTCATTTACATGAGAGACTGATTGATACACGACGACCCGAAGAGATTCGAGGAGGTGGATTATTGAAATATTGTCATTTACTTCTTCGCGGATATCGTGCAGCTCATCCAAATAAGTGTTGCCAATTGGAAAAGTAAGTATTTGATACTTGAAACATGAAGCATTCGTCATTCTCATTTCCTTTTTTTTTTAGATACATGTGTTCACGCTTTTTCATTGATTTTCCTGATGTTTCTGCACAGGAACAGAAGTTACGCAACTATTTAGACAATCATTTCGGCAGCCACGATCCAGTAAGTCTTTGATTTCGTTCTTTCCTCCTTCAATCTTTTTTTTTCTTCCTCTCTTTGCTTGGCTTCCAAGAAATGAGAAAAATAGTCTCATTTTCAACGGAAATAACGTTTCCGTTCCTACGTTTTGAAATAACGAAAAAATGCTTGAGAACGAGGGGCGATATGAGTGAAGGAGAAGGAAAGCCAATGGTGCTGGGAAGGGGGGGGAATGCTTACTCGCTTCAAGAGTAGCGTTAGTAAGCTCTATGTGTGTGTATATATGTTGCCATCTAATACATTTCCCATTATGGAAGATATACGTATTTGCTTGTTCCTTTCAACTCTTTTCTATCTTTTTTTTTTCTAATTTTTGTGATGTCATTTGTTATGTTTTTCTGCTTCAAAGCTGTCACAAGTTTTCGAGCAATCACTCACGACATAAATGAAAAGAGAGTAATGCTAAAAAAGGAAAAAAAAAGAGGAAAAAGAAAAAGGAAAATGCCAAGAAGAGGAATGGCGCTGAAATTACGATGTGTTGTGTTCATTTATCGAATTTTCTATCATATATTTTCAATGACAATCTTCTACTTTCGATCTTACTCTCTTTCTTTTTCTTCTCTCTTACTCTCTCACACACTCTCTCTCTCTCTCTCTTTTCCTTTTTTGGGTCTCAGTTTTTGCTTTTTTTTTCTTTTTTGTTATCTTGTATTGACGAAATTTGAGAAAGTCTGTTTATCAGTGAATTAAACCAGGAAACTTTTGTGATAACCGATCACATGTCTATTGGGCCAACACCCTTTTTTGCTTTCTGAATTTCATATTAGCTTCTCTCTCTCTTTCTCTCTCTCTCTCTCTCTCTCTCTCTCTCTCTCTTACTCTTTTCCCATCTATCTATCACTTTCTCTCTATCACTTTGTTTTTTTTTCTCTATCTCTCTCTTTGCCATTCTGTATGGGGTGCATCTACTTGAATGCTTTCTCTTATTCGCTCACACCCTCTCTTCCTCCACTCTGCATCCGGCGAATAGAAATGGCCATTTATGTATAGAAAAATTATTTAGATATACAAAATAGAAGCGTAGGGGAAACGTTGAAATGTTAGCACAAGTGTGTGTTTCTCTCACTTACAATCTGCATCAAACGGCGATATGGCCAGTGGTATTGAAACAGATGCCTTAGCCCTCAATGGGCTTTCATACAATAGCGAAATTGAACAGTTTTTTTAACGGAACACACACAAGTTTATTTTTCAATCAGATTCATCGTATTTAATCATACTCTTTAGTTATCAAATTGTAAAAAACAATTTATTTGAATGAAATGAAACTGTTCAAACGTCATTGAGTGAATCTGTGAAGAGAGGAGAAGAGAGAGAATGAAAGACTTAGAGAGTATGCTCGTGATCATTCTGCTTTTCAAATACAAAACTTTTAAAATGTTTTAATCATTACAAAACCAAAGGTCATATTTCATTTAAAAACTTTCTTTTTTTTTTCTCTTTCTGCTTTCAATAGAGAGAAATACAATTTATTTTTCTTATTTGAATTTTATTACAGTGGGCAAGCAGTGGCGATGACAGTGATTCTGAAGCATCCACGTCACTAACACAGTCATCATTATTGGCTGTTGGACAGAATAAATATGATTTCCTTATGCTTCTACATAGAATCATCCAAGAATCAACCGTTTGTCTCATGGTGCTTGATCGTCGCATGACTCTGGGCATGATTGATCAATTGGCTTTTCAAGTGAGTTCTCAAACATTGCCGACGTCATTAACAATGTATATATTTGTAGGTATCATTGAATGCTTTGGGAGGACCAGCAATGGAAGGTCATACACCAAAATCAACACTTGTATATTTACCTCGTAATACCTGTCAATGGATAGCAGTTCCTGTAGTCTGATAGTTGATTGAATACAGTAATTAATTAATTATTGACAATCTTGTAAGCTGATAAGGTCGTGGTAGTTAATCGCTTAGAAGTTTTCCTTATTATATTGTTTTTCCAAGTTGTCATTTATATCTTTACGGCGTAAGGTTAACTAGATGTTACTTTATCATATTTTCAACGTTTTTTTTTATCATTTTACATAGTATTTGTCTCTCTCTATCTCTCTTTGTTGCTTTTCTATATATTTCCGGGGTTTAACTATATATATATGAATATATATTTATATATATATTTATATGTGTATGTAAGTGATGTGCTCATCTGATATGCGAATGCAACATGCAACCTATCAAATGAGAGAACATCCAACAACTTTATTTATTTTGTTGTTTTGTTTTTATTTTTCTTATTATTTGGGTCCTGCCTCTAACGTGTAAAAAGTTTGCTAAGTTCACGCGGGTTTCTTTGGCCTAGACGGTCATCATATACAACGCGGGAACTCTGGTCAGAAAATATTATTTTTAAATATCGTTGTAAAGAAAGAAGTTTGAATACTTATCACTTTTTTTTTATTAATATATATATAAACATTGTACATAACACATCTTGTCTTATATATTTTCCAAATAAAAAAATCATATAAATACGTGTTGATTGTTGTTGCAACAAGATTTGGCGAAAACTGGCAAACATACTGCCGGTTGCAGCGGATGACGCGAAAACCGAAGAAGGAAGGGATGTATGGATAAAGATAACGACAAAGTCTTCTTCTTTTTTTTCTTCTCGCTCGTTCATGTCATTATAACAAGCAATTAATATATTTAGTTTTATCATCAGCTATCAGAGATTCCCCTGTTTAGCTAGTGGCAGCAAGTTTAAGAAACGAAGAATAGGATGGATAAAGATATTTGCTTATAGTCAACCTTGAGTTCCGGATAGTCGCTATTCCGATTTCATTAAACAATTCGGGATAGTTAATATGACGTTTAAGGAGGGGGTGGGACTGACGATGACAAAGACCAACTTAAAAGGCGGGATCGAACTGACTTCAGACATCCACAAGAATCCTGACTTTGACCGTTGATGGTCTTAAGCAGGTATTCAGCCTGTTTCAACATCTATTTAAGAATTGTTCTTGTCAGCTTATCGTCAAAAAGCTTATACGTTGAGAAATTTATCTGGAATTTAGAATGTATCTATTGTTAACAGTGGTTTCCTTAACTATTAAACTCTCCACAGCAGCATACTGTGGAGAATCATCTATTCCATACAGTTTTGAGGTGAGATAGGAAAATATGATGAGTTGTGTAATTCATGTTTCTATTCAAGATATTGCCTGATGGGCAACCAATTCTTGGATGTGCCAGGCCAGTTTGCTTCGGTTGGAATCCATCAACAGGTGAAAGAGCCTCAAATGATGCCAGTTTCTTCAGGTACAAACTTATGATATAACTTATACGCATAATAAATAAAAATTTTTTTCAGCATGGGTAATCATTCGGATGGTTTCGTGAGAGACACAATTCTTCACCGTGAGCCACTACCACCTTCACGAGATCCACAATCGTTGCCTCGCCTCACATCGGTATTGTTTTGCTTGAAAATTTATTTTTTTCTTGTTTCTTCCAAAGAAGAAACTACTTTAAGGAGAGAAGGTTTATGAGATTAGCATTGTTTCTCATCATTATTTCTTTTTTTTTCTGATACGCAAAATATAATTAGCTGCGTTGCAAAATAAAGAGATGAAATCGAAATGAAAACTGATGATAGGTGGGATCATATGGAAAGAGCGAGAATTCAAAAAGATAGCTAACGGATTACAGAAGAATGTGGGGGATATGTGTGGGGGGAAAGAGGGGATTGCAATAATTGAGAGAGAAATTCCAAAACTTTAAAAAATATCTGTCGGATGAGAGAAAGATTTGATTGAAATTCATTTGTCAAATGAGATTTTTCCTTTTTTGGTTAAACTCATTTGAATGGGGTACCGTCAAAGCAAAATGCATTGACACTCGGCGGAGTTAAAAAAAAAACTTTCTTCTGACCTACATAACTGTTAATTCTTGTTTTCAGATTTGTAGCCATAATTACATTGGAAGATGTAATCCAGGACAATGGGCCGCTGGAGTTTTGCCCGTTTTGAACGCTTCCGCTAGTCCGTAAGTATAAAGGCAACACATATATTATCATAAATTGATGATTAGTCTTGCACTTCAATGTTGCACATATGGTCCTTTGGAAGATACCGAAGATCGAGGAGTTGCTACTGTTCAGCCAGGACAGATTGTTATTGGGGGAGAAGTACATTTGCTTTTGAAGTGACTCATTGCTTAACCATATATCTCAGGGAACAACCGATGATCAGTTCCAATATTTTGATTACATTGCTAATATGAACAAGACCATTGATGAGAATGGAAATGTTGCATATGAAATCGATATAAGGCGCATGGCTTGTTATGATTATTTGAACAATCCTGAACCAGCTGCTGATGTTGTGAGTCTATTCAAACTATCTCTTTGTCTCTCTTTCTCTTAGTTAAACCTAAAATATGATTTTCAGCCACAACAACCTCCACAACCACCTCAACAGTTCCAACAACCACCTCAACAGTTCCAACAACCACCTCAACAATTCCAACCTCCTCCCCAACAACAAGTATTCCAACCAGCTCAACCACAACCAGTTGCTCCACCGGCATCAGGATGGACGCCTGTTTTTATCCCTGATTATTATTGTTTCACAGATGATACAACAGTTTGTCATATTTTACCTTCCTTAAACCAACATGATAAAAACAGGTTCGAGTAATTGATGGAACCGTAAAACGTATGGATGAATTGAAACTTGACGAATGGGTTCAAGTTGTCAGCGAGGGAAAAGTATTTTCGAACCTGATCGCAACATCGGAATTATCTCTCTCTTTCAGGAGGCTGCTTTCGCTAGAGTCATCTACTGGCAACACAGGGTTCCTTCTCAAGATGCTTATTTCCAAAAGTTGTGGATGAATCTTTTCTCTGTTCATTTTCTATCTTTTCCAGAATCACTTTAATCAATGGCGATGAATTGAAACTAACAGGAAAACATTTCATCTATAAAACCACGTGCGAATATGAAGGACAAAAGGTGGGTAGTTATTAGATAACATTAATTCCTTTTAAATATATTTTAATCCCAATTTTTAGGTTGAATTTAAATCTCTTAATGAGACTGCTGTATTTGCAGAGAATGTGAGCGAGGGAGACTGTTTGTACCATATTCCAAAGGTATTAAATTTGGGAATAAATGATAAAAAAAATGAATTTATAACTTCATAGAGCGGAAATCCCATCGTAACACGTGTTTCCAAAGTTGAAATTGTTCAACAAAAAGGAATTTATAGTCCAATGACATCTGTTGGGAATGTAAGAACTGAAATAAAAAGGGAATTCTGAGTTAATTTATATTGCAGATTGTTGTAAATGGAGTGTATGCATCATGTAACACAATTATCGAAAGTAACACTCTCCAATCCACTTTCTTCAGTGTATGTCTTTCTAAAAATACATTCATCTACATAGACATTTCAGTATGTTGATTACTTCAATAACTTATATGGCAAGATCTTCGCGTCATCTTCCGAAGTGGTGAGTAAAGATACATCCAGTCCATCAATGACGAATGTATTATTTTCAGAGAGAACTGCCAATTGGATTAGAGACGTGGGTGGCTATGGCTGAGTACGTTCTCCCAAAAAATTTAATGTTATATTAATAATATGAACTCAGATTTAAAAGCAATAATATAAAGATTAATTAACTTAATTTATTAAATCATGCAATAAAGATATTTATTCAAGTCTTTCTTCATTGTACAAGAAGATGAAACTCTCCACTTTACATAACCTGACCTCAATTATTTCTAAAACTTTCTTGAGGTCAACAATCGCCCTTTCTCCTAATTGCTCTTTTAAAGTCATGGATTAAAACGAAAGATTAATAGAGAAGCACTTTCAACGGAAATCAAATCGTTTCTACATCTAGTTCTCAATGGACAAAATCGCAATATCCGTAATGACTTAACGCTTTCATGGATAACTTGAAACTTTTTTTTCAAAAACTTCAAGAACAGAATATTCGCACTAATCTTCTAAAGCAACACATCTTCTTTTAAAGAAAATAAGATGAATCGAACAATGTCTCTCATTTGATCTCCCGCAATTCCTTTCCTGTTCCAGAAGATCGAAATATCAAGTGAAACAAGAAATTTGAATACGAACACCGCACACCCAATTAGCTTTATCTTATCCGATGTAACAAGAAAAAATATGAGAGATAATCATTTCTACATATCCGTTTGAAGAGAAGGCTTAAACTCTACAAAATATGTATTACGGTACCTTTTGCGTACCAGACGCAGCACCGTTTCCGACAAAAAGAAGCTGTGTTTTCGAATTTATCATTGCTAATGAGCTTTTCTTCTACACTCAAATAGTATTAAAAGTTTTATTCATAATATACAAAGAGAGAGCATGGGTGAAACATCCATAAAGAAAAGTAATTTCCTCAAATTAAAACGAAAGTATGGTGAAGAAGAGAAAACAGACGAAGATGTGAAGAGAACGAAAGTGGTGAGTGTTTTAACTTAAACAGTCATTCGAATACTGAATTTCTCCAAGGATCTCGAGGACGACACAAAGTTATGGAAAAATATAGCTGTTGCGAGCAAGGAACAACAAGAGAAACCAGAAGATTACTTGTTGAAACTCATTCTTCAGTTAGAGAACGGTTTATCCAAAAAGTGGATTCATTCTACTCGAGTCTTATAATTCTTTTCCATTTTGCAGCATTCATCATGAAATCCTACTTTTTTCGAAAAGTTATAAACCGAAAGGATCAGAAAGTGCCAAACAAATCGTTTTCCTGCTTTTCAGCGCCGTGAAAATAGTAAATCGTAACGAAGTAGGACATGACGAGCTCGAACTTCTTTTCCCAACACTTGCTTACAGACTAAATCTCTGCTCTTAAGCATAATTCTTCGTTATTTACCTAAACTTGATGATATCAGCAAAAGAAACTATTTATTGAGCTTGATAGAAAGTGGAAACGGAATGTAAGTGCCTAGAGCAACTCCTGTGTTCGCCACAAACCGTTTTGTTCAGGAATTTACTCGACGATAGTTTGGATCCTTTCATTTTGAATATAATCACATACGGGTTGAAAGAAAGGGTTTTGGAGCCTGAGGACCTGAACGATATGTATGTTTCTTAATCTCCATACTACTCACAATAAGCTTCAGTGTTCTACGTTGCGCCAAAAGAAACCTTCGGAACTACACATCCTCTAGTGCGCGCATAGCTGCGATTCAATTTTACGTCGAATCTTTCTCAATAAGTATGAATTCTTTTTTACAATGTCTCATATCTTTTTTCCAGGTAATAAAGTATGTAATTGTCAGTTCTTGGAAGAAACATTATGTCAACTTATGGATGACAGAGACTCTCGTGTTCGATTAACTGCGGTTAAAGGTGTTTCAATGATCTTGGAGAAGAAAGATACCCAGCTAGGGTTGAAAACATATAAGGCTATGACGAAGGTTGTTCCACTGAACTACTTGTTGTTAAACTCATTTATACAGATGATGTCAGATAGTGATCGTCATAGCAGAGTAACAGCTCTCAGAATTATTTTGTCGTTTGCTAATGCTACACCTGAAGTGTGAGTTAAGCTTCCAATAGCGAGTAGGTCCGTACTGTTTCAGGAAAGTGCCGATGAATTTCAACAAGAATGAACAAGTATTCCTCACAGATGATGCTTTCTCGATTGTTTGTCATGCAATAAATGATACAGAGGTATCCTCCATAAAGAGTTTCTATGATAACGGAAAGCCAACAGGTGATGGTACGTACTGAAGCAGCTAAACTGTTAGGTCAATTCTCTGCCGTCTCTGATGACTTCCTCGATCAAACTCTGGATAAAAAGCTGATGAGAGCTGTTCAGGTAGTCAGAATTACTCAAATGAATGTGAACTTCCATATTAGACAGCCACTGGTACTGTTGTTAGAAAAGAAGCTGTATCCTTATTCACAATAACAAAACAAGCTCCTCCACCCAAAAGAGGGGCCGATGGATCTAGATGGAAGAGCTTTCAACAATCTCGAGAAAGGTAAATGATGTGGCACTCCTAAATAATGCCAGTTTCAGAAAAACACAATATGCCGATGAATGGGCAAGTGGCAAAGATCTGAACGCTCCTTGTCCGACTGGAGAGGTAAAGACTATTGAGGAAGATAGTATTATACCACAAGGCGCTTGTGGAGCTTTCGTATCTGCATTGGAAGATGAATTCATGTGTTAGTGTTCTGCTTGAGAACCTGATAATTCCCTTTATAGCGGTTAGAAAAGCTGCAGTTTATTCTCTTGGCAAGTTAGCAGCTCACCGACCATCTTTTGCTACATCTGCTTTGGATCATTTGGCTGATATGTTCAACGATGAAATTGCTTCGGTTAGATTAGACGCCATACATGCTCTGACTCCGCTTGTTATCCATGGTCAGCTCTTGAAAGAACAACTGGAAGTCATATTAAAATGTTTGGACGTGAGTTGAAAGTGAGTTAGAAAGTTTATGAATCGTATCAGGATGCCATGTGGGAATCACGTCAAGCTTTGAGAGATCTTCTCTGTAAAGCAGAGTTTGCTGATTTGGACTGCATGAAACTTGTTGTGAAAGCATTATTACAGTGTTTGCATAGGTTTCCCGCTGACCGAGAGAAAATATATAAGTTCGCTAGGTCTCGTTGATTTTATCTATGCTATTTGATTCAGATGCATGAGCCAAATAGGCTCTAATCATGGAGTGTTCGTGCATTGCATGGTTAATGGTCTACTCGACGTACACCCCATATTTGATGCTCAAGAGCATCCTATTGATGATGTGTTTTGTGAGTGAGCAAGAAATTATCATAACTCATTATTTTTTTAGATACTGCTAAGTTGATCCTAGTCTTGAATGCCGCTGCAAAGCATGAGCCTGTAGCTTCTCTTTTCCCTTACTATGTTTTGCGCCATTACCGATTCATGAGAGCTGCTCGACCCTCTCTCGTGCCCGCTGTTACAGTAAGTTATAGTTCACACTGAAATGTATTAAAATGTGCAGAGAATCGATGAGAAGCTTTTGCTCTCCTCAAAGGCGATCACTACGAAATCTGATAACAAAGGAAACAATGTTGAAGTTCTGTTAAAGACATATGAGCGTCTCCGGGATGTTCAACTAGAGAGCTTGTCGCATGACAAAAACGTTCTCCGCCATTACATTGCTGAGTTCGTTGCTAAATTGTGATCTTCGAGTCTCATGTTTTACTTCAGGGATTTAGCTGCCATCAGTTCCTTCAACGCACCTCTTTCTGGAGCTGCGAACTTCCTAGTCAGTCTGTGTGAGGTGTTGTCCTCATTGGAATCAATCCAACAGTCGGTAGTTTCTGGTGGTAACCTTCTTGACGTTGTCAGCTTACTTGATGAGGTAATCTCTCTCTTCCATATATAAATTGTGTTTTGCTTTTCAGGAAAAAGTTCGTGTCAAGTGCTTGGCTTATCAGTTTTCTAACTTGAATAGTTCTTTATTGAGTATGTTGATAGAAATTGGGTTACATTTGGATATTCTTATGATAATGATCCGCTTAACGAAAAACTCCGAAGATTATGCCAATATAATCGATGATCTTCTGGAAATCATTAGTGTTTGTGAAAAGTGGGTTAGACACTTTCAGTTCTCGAATACAATATCATTCTAGACGTTGGAGTGAGTTGACTTCTCCACCTACAGCTGGAGCGCAATCTTTAATACGTACTATTCAAGATAAAGTAACAAACATAGACGAGAAGGCCGACGTCAGTTCTGCCTATTTTGGTAAACTCTTGCACTCATATGCTATAGAAATACCTGAATCTCTACCTGATATATATATGATCCAATGCAAATGGGCCAAGGTATTTCTAGTTTTCTGTAGAAATGTTTTTTTTCAAAAAAGAAGTTATAGATTACTGAGCCGGAGAAAGAGTTCGCAGCGGAAAGTGCAATGCGATTTACTTCTGGTTTACCCATAGCACTTTCTCTGGCAGCAGATTTACACAATTTAACTGAGGAAGATGTTTCAACTTTACGGATTCAAGTAGATTACCCTGATCAATCAAGATCTTTCCATCGTCCAAGGCAAACTGATTTTACTTCGATTTCGAACAAAAGACTTTTGACGACCAAAGTTATATTAACAACTAATACATTTTGGGCGGAGTCGGCTTTGGCATCTTTAACTATCGTGCTTACCGCTGATTCTGATGGAAATACTCCAGTACCCTTATGTCAATCACCTTCTTCCCAAGAACCTTGTCAAATTCAAGTTCGATTACATCCGATGTACAGAACGTAAACTATTTTTCTTTTTGTTATTTCTCGAATAAATTCATCATACTTCCAGATTTTATCTCAAATCATGACAAACACTTCGTTTTCTGATAACTGTTTCTATTTTTCATCATAACTTATTATTTTTTTAGTTTTTTTTAATTTTTTTTCAGAACTGAGTCGCAAATTAGCGTAGGGCAGACTCCTAAGGACGCGCCAAACATTAATAGTTTATCTCGTTGTTATATATTGAAAAGATTAACTATGAATCCTGAAAGATGTGATTTTCTAGCTGGAGATGAATTAATCAAGGTTTGGTTATATGATGTTGAGTTATTTGGATTTATCAAAATGGTTTCAGATTATTCCTAGATATAACATGGTGAATCTAAGACTAGTATGTGGAGATTTTGAAAATATGGAAGCTGGAATACCCACTATTGTTCCCATTTGGTTCGCTGTTTTATTGAAAAAACGACATCAATGTCAAATTGTCGTGAGTTATTTAGCGAAAACACTTTTATTTTTGAAGTACAGCCTCCTGCTTGGCTAAGTGTAGAAGAACTCAAACGACTTGTGGTTGTCGAAAGTGAAATGAACGGTTTAGCAAAGCTTCCCAATAGACTATTTGAAATAGCGCACATATTAGTACGGGAAGCTAAAGAAGACATTGAATCTGGTGATCAGGTATCGAATTTCCATTATTTTAACTATTTTCCCAATCTAGCTCAAATCACTGATACAAGACCTATGGGATAGAAGAGAGGCTAAATTACGGTCATCATCATTGAAATTCATATCTCAAGTGAGTGTTAATCTTTCATTTAAATTAATTATATTTTTAGAATGTAACGTCACATGCTCGAATGGACAATGCCCAGCCCATGGAGATTGCAGGAGCTGGAGCTAGAGCTACGTTATCAGCTTGTAAGCTGATCGCAGGATTGATTTCGAAAAGTCATGATTTCGTGGAATGATTGGTTGTTTCCAAATAAAACATGTAAATGCTGTATCATAAAGGTTTAACTACTCTTTATGTTTATTTTTTTTCAATGAAAATATACAAAGAAAGAGTCTGGGAAAAACTTTAATGAAGAAAAGTAATTTCCTCAAATTAAAACGAAAGTATGGTGAAGAAGAGAAAATAGAAAAAAATATAGTCGTTGCGAACAAGGAACAACAAGAGAAACTAGTCAACCCTTCTGAAATGAGTTTCGATGATAACGGAAAGCCAACAAGTAGGTGATGGTACGTACTGAAGCAGCTAAACTGTTAGGTCAACTCTCTGTTAACGTGCGTGGTTAAAACGGAAATCATATCTTTATTCTGTGAGTCGTATTAACAGAACAAAAAATAAAAAAAATAAAGACTGAACTACTCACAACAGTGCATTTTACAATTCCTACGAGTAACAGGATGTCGTCACTAAACATCTGAGGATCAGGTTGGAGAACAACAGGTAGCATCACGAAAGATAAACTGATAGTTAAGTCTCACATATAGAGAGATAAACAGGAAGAAAGACAATCAACGAATATGTGACAAATCTGACACGAGAAGCTCTCAAGACTCGTTGTCTGAACGTACTGAAAAGTAAATTTTCATATTTTTTTAAATATTGAAATTGAAGATGTTACCCAAATGAAACATGTGAATACACTCTAGAATTCCGAGGATTCGCGCATACTTCTGTTCATTCATCGATGGAAGACATTCCTCCACGGTGGTTTGTGCGCCTAAACTACTAGTGCTTCCAAGCAACAGCCCAGCCATCCTGCCTGACTCATCGAACACGGGTGCGCCTGAATATCCACGTCTTGAGCCTGGCGTACCAACTAAAAAAAATTGAAATCACGAAAACAGGTATTCAAACCCAAATGTCCTGAGTCAGACGTCATTCCCTCAATGATACCCTTGGTAACGGTTGGTTCGTTATGTTTCAATCCCATGGGATAACCCTGTTCAAGACCATTTCATAAACTGAGTAATTCGTACCGTACCATCATATAGTATTTGTCCCCTCGATTTAGATTTTCAATAGAAACGGATAAATTAGGCAGATCCTTTGAATGAAGCATTGCAAAATCTGCAGCCGCGTTAATGTATTTGCATTGAACTGTGAAAGTGCGCTCATTTGTTCCATGAATTTGATACGTTTTGCCTTTTTTAAACGAGAGGTGTGCTGCGGTGAGAATGTTTTGATCATCAATCAAAACGCACGTCCCTCTGAACTTATCTCCATTTATGAGGAAGACACGATTCTCCCAACTGTTCAAAGTGATGGCGAGCTCTAGAAACGTTATAAAATAGGTAATTCGACACAAAGCTTTTTCACTTTTTGACTTTTCCATCTGCATTGGGGTTGCAGGACGAGAACTTGTTTCAACTCGGAACACCGTAACCTTCTGATCAATCGGAAGAAGAAAATTTTTTCCATCACAACTTCTAAATACAAATACAATCATGAGTAAACATTAAGGCTGACCTACGTGCTTACATAAAATTCATCATCACCGAGAGTATACTTCAAATTTACAAGGCAATCTTCATCAATAGAGAACACGTTTAGAAGGGTTTTGAGGGATATATGTTTTTGATCTGGTATACTGATCTTTTTTACTTCTTCGTTAAATTCGAAAGCGGCTGACATCTTAGAGTATCTGATCAGAATAAACTGATTATTCGAAGAAAACAACGAAATCAAGCATGAGTCATACGGAAAACGCCAAGAGACAACATTGAGCCAAAGTGAAGAGAGTTGAGGTTTTTAACTTCAGAACTTTTAAGAGCGCACTACTGACCAAGAAAACCTGAGAGAGAAACAATAACATCAAGAAACCAAAAAACTATTACATTATTATAAATACGTGAATGATGGAGACATTTTAGATTTTTGTTATTGAAGGCGCAACTTTAGGTCAACAACACGAGGTCAAAACGCTGTTCCATATATTAACTGGGTTGGCGCATTGGATGTTAGACTATCACAAACCGTTTTCTGTTCCTCTAGAGCTCTTCCCAAATGTTCAAACTCAAACTATGTTCCTCACAAAAGGAGACAAAATTAAAAGTTTTCATAATTTGCAATATATTCAGAAGTACGCAGACTTCTCGGAAAGACTTACCTTTATTATAAATTTCTACCTTCTGAACGTCGTGAATTGGCAAAATTAAGATTCATCGTTCTCTCTATTTTCCCAAACCCTCTTTTATCATGCCCAATACATAACGAATTTGAGAAATTTCAGAAATAAGTCGCAAATTAGCGTAGGGCAGACTCCTAAGGACGCGCCAAAGTAATGGAGATCATATTTTTTTTCTGTGAGTCCTATTAACTCAACGAGAAAATAAAAAACAAAAACGAATATATGACAAATCTGACACGAAAAGCTCTCAAGATCCGTTGTCTGAACGTCAGAAAAAATAAATTTTTATAATTTTTAAATATTGAAATTGAAGATGTTACCCAAATGAAACATGTGAATACACTGTAGATATCCGAGGATTCGCGCATACTTCTGCTCATTCATCGACAGAAGACACTCCTCTACGGTGGTACGAGCTCCTAAACCAGTAGTGCCGCCAAGCAGCAATCCAGATGGAACAAAGACTCGTCAACACAGATTATCGGAAGGTTCTGAAAGTTTATATTCAGTATTGAGACTTTAATAAAAAGATATTACCTGCTATGAAAGCGGTATGTTTTTGCGTAATACCGATTATCCGACAGTATTGTTGCTCCGAAAAAGAATCGAAACATTCCTCTAGCGTTGTGTTTTCTGTCAACCCCACTGTGCCTTTCAATAAGAGACCACCAAATCTTTCGGAATCAGTAAGAACGGGAGCTCCGGAGTACCCACGTTTCGAGCCAGGAGTGCTAACTGAGTAATAGAATACATTCAAGGATATTAATTTTCAAAACCTAAATGAACGCCATCTTCCATTATCTCTTCAATCAATGCTTTCCTTATAGTTGGTTGTTCTCGAGATAGGCCTACAGAATAACCCTTTTTTAAAAATGCGTTATGAAGCTATTAGTTGATATTTCATACCATTATGAAGTACTTGCTTCCTCGGTTAAACAGACCTAAAGGAGTTTCCAGATTTGTCAGTTTATTCGACGAAAGAATGGCAAGGTCTTAGCGCCTACTGATGAATATGCACTTTACTTCGTGAGTAGTTTCTACTCCATGTATTCTGTACGTTTCATTCAGTTTAAAGGATAGATGAGCAGCAGTGATGATTCTTTTGCTATCAATCAATACGCCTAATCCGTTCAGCATTTCACCACTTATTCGGAAAACTCTGTTCTCCCATTTTCGTAATATAACTTCTACTCCTAGAAATTTGATAAACATTATAATTTAACTCAAATAACGGAAAGCCAACAAGTAGGTGATGGTACGTACTGAAGCAGCTAAACTGTTAGGTCGATTCTAGGTTAATGTGCGTGGTTGAAATGGAGATCATATTTTTATTCTGTGAGTCCTATTAACTGAACAAGAAAATAAAAAACAAAAACGAATATGTGACAAATCTGACACGAAAAAGACTCGTTGTCTGAACGTCATAAAAAGTAAATTTTTATAATTTTTTAAATATTGAAATTGAAGATGTTACCCAAATGAAAAATATGAATACACTGTAGTATTCCGATGATTCTTGAGTACTTCTGTTCATTCATTGATAGAAGACATTCCTCTACGTTGGTACGAGCTCCTAAACCAGTAGTGCCGCCAAGCGGCATTCCAGCTTTCAAAATGCTGGCGACGCCTAGAAACGTTATAAAATAGGTAATTCGTCACAAAGCTTACTCACTTCTTGACCTTTCTATCTGCATGGGGGTTGCAGGACGAGAACTCGTTTCTACGTTGAACACAGTAGACTTCAAATTCTCCGGTAACAAAAATTTTTTTTTGTGGTTGTTCCCACTCCAAAATACAAATACAATCATGAGCAAACATTAAGGTAAACTCACGTACTCAGGTAAACTTCTTGACCATCGAGAGTATATTTCAATTTTATACAAGAATCTTCACTTAAATTGAACACGGTCTCAATAGAACTGAGGGATATATAATTTCGATTTGGTAAACATATTTTCTTAACTTCATTATTAAGTTTAAAAGTGGCTGACATCTAATATTACCTGAACAGAATAAACTGGTTATTTCTTCATCAAATGTGGAAATAAAATATGATGATAATGACTCTACAACGCTCTCATACTGCACACGTGAGAATTAGCATACGTGTGTGTGGCAAATTCTGCAATAGCGCCAAAAAATTTTCATTGTTTTCGTTAAGAAAGTTCAATTTTTCCCCTAGTTTCAGATCGAACTCTTCCTTTTGACCAATTCTTAGGAGGTTACGTAAGTTTCTCATAAAAACTTCTCTGTTCTCTTTTTTCAGTGTTGATAAACGTTTTTTCCTCCAGCATTGCAGGACGTGGTATCGGCACATTATTCTAGCAGTTTTTCCTGCTGGAAAAATGCTTCGATAGCCATTCCAGAACGCATTGGCTTCATCAGAAACCAAAATGGCAAGTTCGAAGTTATCTATTAACCTTTTAACTTCCAGGAACAGCTGCTCGACGTCCGAAGAAGTCGTGCTGCTGCTCAGCATGAAAGCTAAAGGTAAGCCTTTCATCGAGAACCATGATGGTTGTGAGCTTTAGAGAATATTTCGAACTGTTGAATGTATCATCGATACATATTCCACGCTTCGAATACTTCTCTAGCAGCTCAACCTGTGATTTTGTAATAATTATAATTTTTAATTCAGATCTCAGGGCATCATTTGGCCTCTGAAAAAGCCGGATGCCATCTTCTTCTTTGTTCTCTGAAAATCTCATTGCTACGGACTCGAGATCTTCGGAACATCTCCAGCCTGGTCGTATGTTCAGTTTAACCTCTACGTTTTTCAGATCAGCGTTGTCCAGTGAAGTCGCTTCGATACAGGATAGCGCTCCTTCAAGATGTTCAAGATATTTTTGAAATCTCTTCTATCTGTTAGTAAGTCCTTGATAACACCTCTTTCACTTTCAGAGAGCCATCCCGAAAAAGTTTGAATTTTATGAAAGCAAAGCAATGCTCTTGATCTTTACGTGAGTTGTGCCCTATCCTACAAACCGCATCATTTCTTTTAGTTTTACCTGCCGTGTGACAAGTGAACATCTTCGACCCGTCTTCTCGCTTCTTATTGAGGATGAAACGCGTTGTGTTTCTCTCTTGTGTGGCATGGAACCACTCCTGTATGTAAGCCATGTTATCTTTATTTTCTTTTTCAGTATACCACGAACTCTTCCAAACTTTCAAAGTAAGCATTTTGGATTGAAAAGTCTTGAGCCATACCTGCGGCACCTAATGAGCTGTGCATCTCTTCGCAATAAAGAGAAAGCTCAACTTGAGTGCCGCAGAAGAGACGACACTCAGGTACGGGGCATGGAACTGATGTCGAGTTGACTACTCTCACTGTCAAACCTTCTTTCTTTTCAGGTCTTGCACATCCTTTAGTGGCTCTGTGTTTGTTCAAGCCCGATCTGCTGAAAAACATAAAATCACAGCTACAGTTATACCTTTCTAGATGCGGTTTGGACTGCAAGCTTTCTTCATTTTTCTTTTGAATCATCTGTTCTTCGCTCTATCCATGAATGGTGCGTAGATGACGATTCAGCTGAGCTTTGTTGATATTTCGCGAACACATGTTACAGGTATCGATCATTCTGTTCAATGATTTACTTTTCATTGAGTTTTTGTTCGTTTTCTTGTTTTTTAGTTTATATGCTAATAGTTTCACATCGTAATTTACGTTCAAATCTTTGTCTTGGGGATTCGCATGCCTTCATGAAACTGTTGTATAACTCAGCTGATTTCAAATTTATTTTAATTTTCTTGTTTTCGAATTGTATATGTAATAGTATATAAAAATTTATTAGAAAGATTTGAACAATAAGCAACGCAATGACAGAACAATGACAACTCACATTCACAAGAATATAACTGAGTTTGTCAGCATTTCAATTTCTCATACCCTGAATATCACCAGTTATCAGCTGAAAACGAAGTGAACCTACAAGAAATATTGGATTACTCCAACAGATGAGTTATGTATCTCATAAAGGCAAGTTGATGTTGTCTTTGCCAGAATCCATCATTCAGTTAATACCGGAATCTCAATTGAGCATCACGAAATATAGAAGACAAGCCCGTGTCCTCCATATAACCCTGTCTTCCAAAACACTCGATTCCTTCAGAAATGCGGGGAACACACTGTATACATGAAAAGCTCGTGCACTAATGAAAGACACATACCATCTTTCCAGCGTATAGTTTGTAAATTATTTCATACTCACACCTTTCCTGTTTCTAAATAATATATGGTGGAACAAAATCATGATATAAACGTTTTATTAGATAGAATAATATAATAAACAATAAAATGATAAAATAATTAAGGATAAATCAAACAACAATTAACAATCATTCAACACTTCTATCGTAAGAAGCGAAATGTTCAAAAAATATACAACACATGTGTTTTTATTATAATGGAGAAAAAAAACTTAAACCATATTTACATGGTCTAAGCTTAGATGGAACGTCCGGCAGTTTTTGGTGGCTTCTTGTACTGTACGTTCAACTTAAGGCCTCAACACGATGTCAAAACGCTGTTCCATATATTAACTGACGGATATTTTAATTAACAGATGTTGGACTATTTCCTGTTCGTCTATAGCTTGTGCCTCCTAAATGTTCAAGCTCAAATTTTGTGTTTTTTCTAATCGGCAAGTGCATGTTGATCAAGCATGTAAAGATGTTTGTGACAATCCAGTAATTCACGCTCATGTTTTCTTTATCACCTTAGTTAGTTTTTGTAAAAAGTCTTTCTCTCACATGCTCTGACTCCGCTTGTTATTTATTGTGAGCTCTTGAAAGAACAACTGGAAGTCATCTCGAATCATTGAAGTTCATATCTCAAATGAGTGTTAATATTTCATTTAAATTAATTATATTTTTAGAATGTAACGTCACATGCTTGAATGGACAATGCCCAGCCCATGGAGATTGCCGGAGCTGGAGCTAGAGCTACGTTATCAGCTTGTAAGCTGATCGCAGGATTGATTTCGAAAAGTCATGATTGGTTGTTTCCAAATAAAACATGTAAATGCTGTATCATAAAGGTTTAACTAATCCGTATGTTTTTTCTACTCTTTCTTCTCGCATATTGTTTTAGAAACCGCCGCTTATTCGGCTTCCTTCGCTTCAAGAATAGCCCCTCTAATAGAACAACGCTCATAGTGATTACTTTACGTACATTTTCTGAATAAAAAATTTCTTAATCCAATTACAAAGAGGCAGAACCTTGAGCTCTTACTAATTTTCAAATTTGTTTTAAGATTGTTTCGATATTTTTTGTTCCTGTTCTCTCTTCTAAAAATCATCTTTGAAATTTTAAACAGCCGATCGCGGCTGGAGCATTTGTATATATCCTTACTGATGTATTTCCCCCCCATTATACTCGGAAAATGTTTTCTCTCTCTGTGAGCACGAGTATATGTGTCCACGATTTGCTCTCGATGATTGATGACCAGGTGTTTATAGCCTTAAGGAAGTTGTGGATAAGTACGTATGACCCACCCTCCCACCATCAGTAGTTGTTAACAGGTTATTCACGTCAGAGTTACTAAGTACAGTTTCGTCAATATCGTGAGTTTGAACCGACCAAACTTCTTACAAAGCTGTTTGTCTAAACTTCAAGAGTAAACCTCTGTTTAATCATGATTATACTCGTGTGAAAGAGACAAATTTTGTTATATCAGATCTTATAAGTTGTAAGTATAGCCAGAATATTACTAGATTGTAGTCAATCCTTCTGCACCTTCTTAGCCTATTGAATAATCCGTGATACATTTTTTGAATGATTAATAACACTAGCATGATCAGCTTAAAATTTCTTCTCTGATCACGGAGAGTATAAGGATAAGAACAAAGGGAAATTTGAACTCTATCGTAGTCTCGTTCCTAGCAGGTATTTTTTTCGTCACAAGGTTTATGATGACATCTTCGTTGTAACGCTTGCTTTTTGAGACGCATAGGGTGGTCACATGAGGGATAATTCTCTGAAATTACTTTTTCACCATTCAGGCAGAAAAAATCTCGCTTTGTTTGAAATAATGATTGTATTTCGTTGCTAAAAGTTGGTAACTCAAAAGGTTTCGCAATGAGTGATCATTAGTAAAGGGTGTGACAGCCCCAAAATAGGATTGAAGAATGAAATTTATAATTTCATCATTTCTGCTCTATATTTGATGTTTCAGAAGTGGTCATAGTCTATGTTCCTTGAAAAGATTTGAAGAAAGTTGAAAAAAAAAAGTTCAAATCATTTCGCTTTTTTATTATTCATTTTGATTCACTTTCTCTCTAATTCAATTTGAGAATTACATGAATTTTGATTAAAATAATCAAATTTGAGCAAATTGTGCAGAGTTTTGGTTCATAGAAGATTGTATAAGAGAATGGAACGGAAGTATTGAAGGTTTAATCGGTAATTAGAAAAGTAGAGTTGTGATTACGCTATGGAAAGTAAGATAAGTAAGTGATAAGGTTGAATCGTTATCTCTCTTTAGCGGGGGCTTTTTTTCTCAGAATAATGTGTGAGCGAATTCTTGAATCAGTTTTAATCAAGTTAAGTTTTGAACAACTACTGAACTTTTATTTTTTTTATTTTGCAAAAGAACCACGTAAACAAATAACTGCCAGTTAACTTCAATATACTAAGCGTGGTGTTGACTTGAAGTTTCTTTAGGTGACTTCGCCTGTTCTGCAGTAGGCCGGGCCTCGGCGAATCTTGAAACGCATGATTGTTCAGAGAGAGAGAGAGAGAGAGAGAGAGAGAGAGAGAGAGAGAGAAAGACTTCTTATTAGTTGCCGAACTTGTGAAATGTGCCTATCAATCGGTCTATTTAACAATGTCTTCGGTTTGTTTTGAAGAGAAATGTGTAGAACAGATTGAAAAAAGATACAACAATTCGCTTTTTATTCTTCTCGATTGTATTTGCATTGAAGATTCTTGTAGCCAACCATATGCATGCCGTATTTTCTCGTTGAATCCAAAACAAAACTGCTCCGATCGATCTGTATAAATCAGGAGAAGTCTTTGTTCGAAGTCCTATTATGTTTCAAATATCTTCTTTCTCGTATATCGCCAGTTTGCGTAGTGTATTTGGAATAATATTAGTTAGAATTCTTTCATGTTTGGATGCCATTTTTTGAATTTTTCCAAGCATAAAAAACGTGACACTGAATGTCCTTCTGTATGTGTAATAAGTACGTGCTCGAACACATTTAATGGTATTTCTACGTCATATTCCTTTTTCTTTCTCTTCCATCTATTTTCTCATTGATTGTAGTAATAGACGTCAGTTCAATTTGAGTGGGAAAAGATGAACTGAAGTTTTTAATTCTTATCCAAAATTGAAATCGGTCATGTTGCTGTTCTATCGAATTATTTTTTCAAAAACATATTGCGCTCACTGTGTGCTTCTCTCGAACATAATTAAGGAGCCGTAGAACTGTTTTTATTATTTTTTGATTGAGCTTTGATGCCGTTTTTGGCGATCATAACGGACAGACCATCCGAATGATCGACACATTTTCTCCGAAAATAGCACGATATATCTATTGATACGATAGTATTAAGTAATGTTTCCTTTGTTTAGTTTTTTCTCGCCACAATTTCACGCTAACAGTTGGCCACGAAATATACATTGAATTTCTTGAACTTCTTTCGCTTCTCGTATTGATGACGAAGACGAAGAAGCCATTTGCACTTACCTCGAGCAACAGTTGTTTCCATAACTTTGTCTAACCGCTGCCCTTTTTTTCAACAGAATTCATTTCAACTATCTTTCCAGTTTTCTGTTCTCTTTGATCTTTTTAAATTTTCGTCTTACTGTCCTCTTTCTTTTTCATTGATATATTTTTCTTATAAAATAATATAATCTTCTCGACCTTTGGAAAGCCAATCGCGTAGAGGAAGCCGTTCGCTGAAGATAGTCTTAGCTTGTGGATAACATTGCGTGAAAGTAAATATATGAGAAGATTGAAGTAAAAACAGGCAATGACAATATTTGTTTCGTTGTTTGTTAAAAGCTTGGCTCTGTTCCAGGCGACTTTTCATCCCCCCTCTATGTCTGTCTACGATCTCATTTCGATCAATGGAAGTAAACTAAGATATTTTCAATTTATTATTGCGTGTTTCATAGTTTCAAATAATCTTCACAACAATCTATTTGTCACAAATAGCTGTTTGTTAACATCAGGACAACAGCTCATTCGTCGTCGGCAGATGTTTTGTTTTACTTCATATGTCTAAGAGATTATATTATTTTTTGAAATTGAACTTTCCTACGGCAAATTCAATCTTACTCACATCTCCCCTCAATATATATATATTTTCATTTCATTTCATATATATATATATGAGCGAGTGATTTTTGATCACAATATTGTTATTTTTGTTCATTGAAACTCAATATATCTATAAGAGATTTCTCAGTTTACGTATATTTTCATTTTTTGTGGATTTTTAACCAATGCAATCACGTATGTACGCAATTAAAAAGTTAAAAATAATTTTTTTCTCTTTTGCATGTTCATCTATGTTTTGCGAGAGATTTATGTAAATTTCGCAATTGATATTCTCTTTTTGGAAATTTTCAGAATAACGTCTTTGTCATGTTCTCATACCAGTTTCTAATCTTCATAATTGATTTTTTTCTTTCTCCATTACCGTTTGATAAGTTGTTTACCCATTCATTCCAACTGTTTCTGCTCTTTTCCTTACCTTGATCAGTAGCGTTGTTGCCATTTTGTCTTGCCCATTCCGGTTCTATCAATCTGATAGAAACTAACTTTCTTTCTTTTCTTCACCTTTCTGTCTAAAGCTCAAAAGTTTATTAGGATCTCTGCGTATTTTTTGAACATTCGTTTTCTGCCACACATTTCTCATGATCTGTCCAATTTGCGAAAGTGTTAAGTCAAAGTTTTCGATCTTCAATTCCTGCGACTTTTGTTTCGTCGTAACACCTGATTAGTTTATTAAGAGCATGTGAATCGAAAAAGAAGGATGATGTTGATTACTAATCGATAATATAACCAATTGTCCTGACGGAGAACCGCCGTTGGCAATTTATCAATGACAATGCTGGTTTTCACTTTTACCAAATTTCTATCTGTTAAATATTTTAAATCATTATTCGCCTCATGTTCTGTTTTTTGGACATTGTTCTTTTCTCTCGCTCTCTGTTTTTCTATAAATCTCATTTTCAGTTAATTAATGTGAAGCATGCCTTCGACGCAATTGTTGCCATCGTCCTCAGATTCTAATACTACTGAACCTCTACATGTAATTGCCACCACTTCTAGTTTGGACAATCTTCCCAAATCTGCAGTGAGGAGAGGTTCTTCCGGAGATGGCTCGGGATTCGATGAGAATCATGAAACTATATCCTTCCAGTATCCCTGGTCTTTAAGAGTATGTCAAAGGTAAATAGTTATTCACTTTCAAAAGTCTGCTCATGTTTTTAAATAGGCAAAAGGGTTTTATGATAACAACAGTTGAAATTTTGTTTTCGACACCAACATTTGAAGATCAAGATTTTTCAGTAGTTTTTGCTGAATTTAAAGAGCGAAACTTGTTTCGCTTTTGAGAGATGAAGTTTATTAGTTTTATATAGACAGTTGCTAAGAGTTATATCGCACTTACAAAATCTTTTGAGCCTAATTCCATTTGTTTTGCCCGGAAACAAAGATGTGAAAGATTTGTTTGCTTTGAAACGTTCCAGATGACAGACTTTAAAAATTTTCTTTAATATTCAATTTTTAAGATTACTGGAAAACAACGAGGCTGCTGTTCTCAATGTTTCTCCTCCATTCACTACATCATTCAACGGAGTTCAGTTCACCTGGGCATTACGGCTATCGGACGAATGTGTTGTTTCTCAAAGTGGTCTGTTTCTAGAACTCTATTCATTTCTTTTTTTTTTTTGAAGACTCCGATCCGTCTGTTCCATATATTTTCATTCATATATATTATAAAGATGGCCCTTGTCAGGATGTTATTGTGGAAGAAGCGAAGTAAGACAATATTTTGATTTATAATCTTATTTGATTAAGAGCCCACATATCATGCTCCCAAACTGGCGAAGTGTTGTTCAGTGACCTTCAGTTAGGACTCAAAGAGTTTACAAAGGCAATATCTTATTCAAATTTCGCACAGATAATATGTATTGTTCAGGGAAGTGGCTGGCCTTTAAAAGTCGAAGACGAGCGTCAGTCCGCGTTCACTTGCTTCATTCAACAACGCATTGATTGTGTTCTAAACGTTGTCGTTACCATTAAGTGAGTGATCCTTTCTTACTCATTGTAATAATCTTCGCAAATCAGATTGAAGACAACTCTGTTTGAGCCTTTCAATTATCTGCCAGACGTTGAAACAAGTCAAAGAATTGAGCGGCATTGCTTACAGTTCATTCAAAATGTACAGGAAAGTAACATGATCATTCCAGAAGCTGACAGGCTTGTTGTAAGTTTATAATTACTCTCTACATAAATAACTTTTTTTTCAAGAGCCAGAATAAATTTTCAATGCACCGGCTTGTATTCCTCCACGGATGTGACTTAGTTGAAAGAGAATGTTCGGAGGATAGAACTCGGGAGCCATGCGAGCATTTCCTCAACTTGGTTCGAAGCGTGAGTTAGCTCTTGCTGTTTTCAGTTAACGCCATGTTTTAGACTTTTGCTCGAGTTTATTTTAACAAAATTTTGATGAAAGAAGTTGAGTGTTTGGAAGATTTCGTAACTTTATTGGAAGGAGTAATTGAAGCTCACATTCCGCCTCTGCGTCGTGAACTAGAACGGTTTATATGCCAGGAAGTATTGGTTAGTTCGGCACTCTTGACACAGCTATGTACACACATTCTAGGAATCTACCGATTCCGAGTTCACGAAAAAAATGTTATTACTGTCCCAGAAATTCTCCTTGGATGTATTGAAAATGGTAGCAACGGGTGCTTTAGTAGATCAAATTATTGCCCATTCCAATCCTCCAGCGAAATTGGCGAACATTACCCACGACTTAAAGCAGTTCGCCAGTGAAATGGATGACCAGATGGGGTATGTGTTTTTCCGTAGATGTTTCATTGTTTTGATGTTCCAGTCCCGAAGTTTCTGGAGATGTTTTGGTCGGTTCTGTTGTGGAAGACTTACAGTCATTAACTAGAAGAGTACGTCGAGTCTCACTCTCGCATTCACCATCTGTTAGCTCACAGGTACAACACTAATCTTTTTTTGAGTTTAATATTATTAACAGGGAAGTAGTCCTGTTGCCACACCAAGTGATGTCGATTCGTTATCGCCAGCTGTTTCTGATCAGAGGCCCTTTGATCAGGGACGGTTCAAGAAAGTAGAGATAGCATGAGCCAGTTGCATATGAATCCTTCGAAAGCTTCTAGTCTCATCTTGCCTGTTCGAAACTGTATATTATTTTCTCTCGGACATTTTTTTTTCCATCTTTTATTTTATGGTCTTAATAGATCACCCTTTTTCGGGAAGTTTCGCTTAGTTGAGTTTGTTCTCGCTTTTTATCGAAATGTTCAACGCCGTCGGGTTCAGCTTCTACATTTCGGGTAGTTTCGTAGTGTTTTACAATATGTTTACAAGTCTCAGCTTCGGAATCAGAGCCATATTAAACTCAGTTTTTTCATGAAATAGCAATTCATTTAAGCACAGGTTAATCATATTTGATTCTGGTGATGGGAGAGAGTTAAATTGCAACATATTTTTGTTTTATAATCCAGGCCTTTTTTGATGTTTTCGACCTTCATTTGTAAATGTTCCCCTCTTTTTTAATTTTTTTTTGATATAGCATATCTGTACAAACGGTTTTTGAGATATTGTACATATTTCTGTTAGATTTTCAGTTTTTTTTTCCGTTTGCTTCCGGAGGCTCTGGTGGATGTTGTCAAGCTGAAAAGTGCATTATTTTGTTTTTTTCCATATCTTATTATTCGCTTTTCTCTTAATAAATAAGAATCGTCTCGAATAATTGTAAGTTGAAAGTAAATCTTGAAAAGTGCGCGACGTTTCATCATCAATTTCTGATTAGAGATCTTTTTGGGAGTGAAGAAAAATATAAATTTTATGACAGACAGATGTTGTAATATCTGGTGTCCTGAACTAAGATGTCGAAAGAAACATTGGAACGTTAAAACAAAAAATAACAAAGAATAGCGATAGTTAAGACTATCAATAGCATGTACACATCAATTGAGACTACATCTTTCTTTCTATATGAGTTTTTGCCTGGGTTATAGCCTTGACGTACCCGCTTCTTCAACTTTAAAATAGCGTCTCGTGCACCTGAATCAGTCATTTCGTACACAGATTACATGATTTATACCTACCGGTCCAAACATGAGGCCCTTTCAAGCGATAAACATATGGAGAACAAGGTCCAAAAGTCGTTTCGTAAGCTAAGCAGGGGTCTGACAGAAGGAAATCTGCAAAGTGTGGACGGCATCCGAGTAGAGCTGCCAGTTCATCCATGTACGGAACATAAGAAACCTGCGTGAACATCATTTGATACAGAACAAGGGATGTTAAAATCTACTTGAATTGTGTGCCGATCACTACCGTAAAAAGTATTCATCATATCAATACGCTTCAGATGAACATCAGTTTCCATTCCTAATACTGTTGGGAGCTCGGCTTCACCAGTTAAGTGGGCCAAGAATACTCTTGATTGCATTTCAGCTATCGGCCATACACAACCAGAAGGCTATAATAGGCATGTCGAGTCCAAGAACATCATTTCGAATACCTGTATACACCCTAGTACGGCCAAGGTGTTTTTCTCTAGCCCGACAGGGTACATGAACTTGTATAAATCCAGTTGGTTATGATCAGTCTGAAAATAAAATGAAGACGATGACACGAGAATTATTTGAATACTAGCCTTGATTAGTTTACCGTTTTCTATAATTGGGAACTTGATGTTATAACCAGTTGCCAATATGACTTCGTCTACATTAGATATTCTACTTCCATCTTCGAAGACTACATCGTTCGCAGTGAACGACTGTATGTTTGGCTTGATAGTTATACTTCCACAAAATAGGCGGGCTCCAATATCGTCATTAGTCGTCAAGTGAGCTCTGTTCAATTATATGTTTCAACTTGTTTTAATGAAAGATACTCACCCAAACACGGAATGGGCCGGTCGCAATCCGTATGCTTCATGGTCAAATTTCATATTTAACTTTCTTTCGAATAAATAGTTTTTTAAGAAAGAAGGGACATAAGGGAGTAAAGCATGATTGAAAAAACGAGAATTCTAAAAGGATATTGTTACTCAGAAAGATCTTTTCAATGTACTGTAGCAACATCCAAAGGAACTCCATAGTCAGATGTACGTCCTGCAATCCAACATCCCCGTCTACTCGATAATACTATCTGGATAGGAGATTTTCATTAGAAATTTTATTTTTTCAAACATTTTGTGAAATACGGCTCAATTCTACGGCGATGTCGATACCAGAGTTTCCCACTCCAACGACAACAACCCTCTTGTTATCGTAGCCTGAATATCATGTAATAAAACAAAAAGTTCAAGCTACCAAACCTCCACAGTGTTTGTAACTCTTCGCATGAATAATTTTGCCTTTAAACTGATCCTGACCTGACCAACGAGCAGATTGATTTGGGAACTGGTGATGTCCAATGGCAACCAGAACTCCATCGAACACTTCTCTCGCGGGAACTCCCTTACTGAAAGCGACATGATAGCTATGCAGCGGAAGTGTTAGCATACTCATCCTTGAACTCCACCACCCATTTACCATCATTTTTGAAACTTTCACTTCTGTATATGTTTTGAACAGTATGATTCAATCGGACATATTTTTCCAAATCAAAATGGCTGGCATAGTCGCAGAAGTACTGAAAATTATTTTCGATTTTTAAAATTCCGAAGCTGATAAGGACAGTGCATAATCTAATGAATTGATATTTTTTTTATTATTTCAATGTTATTTCAAGTTGTAAAGTGTTGATAACTTGCCTGCAAGAGCTGTGTGTGATGCATGAAGTTCGGTTTATCGGCCTCTGGAGGAAAGTCACTGTACGCCGACATTTCTTTTGACGAATTCATTACAGTAGTATGCATAACGGATGTATCTATATACTATTTTACAATAAGCCTTATGCAATCTTCAAAACCGGGTGATTCCTGATCAGTGTAATTCCAAACTCCACCGATTTTATCGCTGCTTTCAAAACATACTGGGATTACTCCATAAGCAACTGCATGTCTGAATTTAATACTTGACCCTCAGTCTTTCATAGATTCATCGTTTCAATGATAACTGGGTAATTTAGAAAAATTCACCTTATAGCCGGTAGACCCGAAGGACCAGCCCCTATAATAGCTACACGCTTCTTCATATCTGACACCATAATCTGTAAAGTTATGATTGTACTTAAAAGGTAATAACATAATGAAATGAAAAAAACGAAATAAAAAGGCTTCATGCTCTCATCCTAGACGAGTCACGTAATGGTTGAAGGAACAGTGCGATAAGCATATCCGCCTCGATTACTTTGGTTTGCAAGCGAAGTTTGCTATCAGCATTCGATCAAATTATCAACTCCACTATGTTCCGCTAGACATAGATATATATAAAACAGTTTGCCATTAAACATCTTTATTGTCAAAAATATTAGTTTATGAGAACACTTATTCGAGCTTTACATATCAACAGAGAAATTTTTTTAATCAAAAATAGCAAGTTGATAAAATTGTTGTCCCATTATAATTACATTATATGGCATCAACAAGAAACGTATACTGATAACGAATTTCCTACGTTCTTATCTATAGAACCTCTGCTTAACTATTTTTATCACTAAATGGGTTCAGGAAAAGGTCAACGAACAAAAATCAATCAAAAATATTAATTTAAGCCGAAACAAACAAAGAATCACAAAGAATACAAACCTCCAAGTCACAACTAAATATATGAGAGATTAAAATAAATTTTTCCATCCATGAAAATCAAAACAATCTACACTGAACGACTCCCCGAGCTAAGCCGATGCACGCGCCCCAAGAATGTTGACACATTCAAATCAAGTTTGCTCCCTACTTCGCGAACGTGTCATTCATTGCTTGAGCTTCAGTTTCGGCACATATCAGAGAAGAGCTTCATGCCTTGGTTTCGTCTTTCTATATTGACTACTGTATATTATTCTCTCCAACAAGGAGGAGAAACATCAGTATCAGTTCACGTGAACAACCGCCAACAACCTCCATAATTAGCAGAATGGTATCGACAACGAACGTGATACTCATAACAATAACGCGTGAACGACCGGTCTAAAAAATGGAAACAAACGATTTAACACGTTAACACCATGTGCACATAACCAGTAACCATCCGAACAGCTCTGCGTACGCTACACAAAAGTTTTTTTTTCAACGTCGGGTGTTTCCTCTTAGCTTTTCTCGTAACATCATTCGAGGAAATTACAATTCTATGAACATATTACTGTGAAATAAGCTTCAAAGAAGCTACTAGCTATCGTTATGGATTATACGGGTAATACTATGAGGTATGGGAATGATAAATGCTGGAAATTTTAAAATATTGTTAAGGGTTGATTTAGCTTCGAGCTCTGATGAGGAGGAACCTGTTCGTCGTCGTTTACTGCTAAGTGAGACACATGAGAAAATTGAACATTAGCTGGTTTTTTTTAGCTGTGTCGCAGGTTCGAGCATTGGACGAATCGTTTAGCTCTGGACGTACGCAGGATTTGTTGGATATGCTTGCTTACTGTTTTAAATTTTCAGTTACTTCTCGTCTTTTTCCAACCCGTACCCGTACTCGTACTCGCCAACAAGTTCTTTCGAGCTCTAGTGAAGACTCAAGTGTGGAGGGGAGCCTAGACCTGGACAGTGATATCGAAGAAGTTCCGGTTGCTGGACCTAGCAATGAAGTAGAAGAACCAGTAGTTCAGGAAGTACAAGTAGCTCAGGAAGTACAAGAAGTTCAGGAAGTACAAGTAATTCACGAAGTTAGTTATCATTGATACAGTTCATTATCTTTTTATTAATAGGAACGTACCGCTTCTTCCAGTCCGACAGCCAAAAGAAGGAGGACAGAGGACGCTTCTACGTAAGTTCAAACAGTATAGTTCAATGAACCCACTGTTTTAAGATTAGAACCCGTGAAAGAAGATGTGGATGAGCCGGAAGAAGATGATGGGTGTAGTATTTGTTATGAGGTTTGTTCGATTATTAGAAATTGTGAACTGTGTCGTACAGGATTATCAAAGTTGTGGAGAACATCGCCTTGTTTCTTTGAAATGTGGTCATTTTTTTGGAAAAAGCTGTATCATGCGTTGGATTCGTTCCGAAGGAAGAAGTGCGTCCTGTCCTACTTGTAAAGCTAAAGCAACTACTAGAGATGTTCGTCCACACTTCACAAAAACGTTCAAAGTAACTAATTCTCTCTCATTCCGCATTATTCCCGTTTATCAAGGTTTTAGATACATCTGAGTTAGAAAGTTTAAGGGGAAACAAAGTTTTATTAGAGAGAAGAGTAGCTGATTTGGAGCTAGAAGTTGTCAAGCAAACGAGATTAGCAGAGGAGCTTAAAGAGAAAATGAAAAATAGGTTACTCGTTACACATCTTGATGGTCTTCTATTCTTGATTTCAGTACTATCTCTCAGAGTTTCATATTAGCTAGGCGTGCAGGGAAAATAGTTCTAACGGCTATAACGAAATTGTCACTCACTCGTGAAGCCACGGGATGTGAGTGGATTAGAATATTGAAAGTTACACAGTATATGTTTAGATTCAAGAGCTTTTGACTATAATGGATCAGTTTTTGCAGTTGGTGTAGGTGATCTAGGCAATCTATTCAGTGCTTTTGGTATCAAAACATTAACATGGGTACGATAGTTAGTTTAGAAATAACTTCAATATCAGTCTTAGGAGAATATGAACCTGAAGGTTAGAGATGTTCAGCCATGTCATACATCTCGTACACGTGTTGTTCAATTCTGCCCTCTGGAACAAACTTTATTGTTAACAGGTATTCAGTCATTGACTTCCTCATCTACTTTATCCTTCAGCCGGTGAAGATAAAACAGTGATTATACAAGATGTTGCTCAGAAACGAGTTGTCAAGAAGTACAAAATTCCTGGTTCAAAACAAGTTTGGGCAGGATGCTGGATCTCTAGAGAAAAGGTTATTCACTTCGGTTTCCATGTGAACTATTTTATTAAGCTTGTTGTTGGCTGTATGGACGGCAGAGTGCTTTTATATGACATCACATCATCGTCAGAGCTTCCCGAAAAAGACATCAGCGACAACATCGGAGTAGTTCCTATTATTTTCCTGGCGTAAGAGTTAAAATCTTTTTTTCTTATAATAACAATATCTCAAGATATGATACGCGGCTGGATTTGTTGCTGATCTGTTCTGTCAAAACATTCGTTGTTGTCCATAATGAACGTGTGTTTACTTTGTGTCGCTGTGAACGTAAGTGTTCACAGGCTCGAATTCTTACAATATAACTGATCTTTAAGCTGGCGAAACTTATCGAAGTGCAACTTGGGATGAAAGTTCGATTCATGTCATGCTTTCTCTGAAGACTGGCGCAGGCTTTACACATAAACTCTATCGTCTCGGCATAGATGAAGCAACTAATGTGGTTAGTAGATAGAAGTGATTGAGATTGCGAAGAGTGTAAAGAACTGAGAGAAGAAGAATGTAACTGATCATCACGTGTATACGGGCATGGGATAAGCTGGTGACAGGTCTTAGAGCTTGTTCATGCTCCTGTGACTACATTTTGGAGGGAATTGGATATCCGCGATGCTTTAGCTCTACTTTAAATTATTGTTTTCTTTATTTCCAGGTAACTATGGCTGATGTAGACGTTTGGGATTCCACCAATGCTTTCAAATGCTCCACATACTGGTATAATCTTTTATTTTCAACTGAAAAGGGTCTTTTCTCTATTGTGTATAACGAAGACAAACAATGTTTAGAATGTTGTGATTGGACAAAAAGACGGAGTAATGTAAGTTCTTGAAAGAATATTGTTTATATTTGATTTCTATTAGGTAGCGATCTCTTTTAACATGGGTAATCCTTCAATGATGCTCGCAGTGCCGGGTTCAAATGCTGATAGTAAAATAATATTCATTTTAACAGAATTATCAGTATTTGTTTTAAATTTTCAAATTAACGACTGACCATATTTCATCATTACGTGTTCATTTTGTTTTCTGATTACTGAAGCATTTTTCAAAGTTATTAAAATATGTCTTATTCATATATATGTTATTCTTGTTGAAGAATACAAATAGAGTCACATTACAAATGTCAACTAGGAGCTGCCATAAAGAATTAGGATTGAAACTTCCTCTTCTATCCAGATGACAAGTTCTTGAAGAAAGATAGACAGATTGATTCGCCAAAGTAGTTTATGCTGTTGATAGTATTATTGTTCTGAGCATTTGATTAGCTTTGTCATTCTTTTCCTCTCTCACTCCGTCTACACAAAAGCTTTTTTGACCATCGAAATAGAGTTTATTGCGCCCGTTTGTTGCACAATTAATTCTGTTTCTAGCAAGTTTGTGTTTTGGACTAACCAAAAGATTATTTTCAGTGAATCACTCATGCCTCTCTCTATCTCAAATAAGCAGGCAGTAAGATGTCAAACACACACAAAATATTGAATAAGAAGACATTCTAGATTTTTATTTTTGAAAAACTGTTTTTTCATTATCGTTTCTTCAAATCTTCAGCAACCACACGGCACTCATCATCAATTATTCTAATTTCTCGCCTTTGTTCACGTTGTATACGTGACAATACAAAAGTTCATTTAGTTTTGAATGAACAAGCTGAACGGTTGTTTTTTTTTCTTTCCTTTCGAGGTTTTTTTTTCTAACAAAAATTAAAAGAGTATTTTCGAAAAAGTGAGAGAGAGTGAGAGAGAAACAGCATGTTTGGATGAATTGAATCTTTTGTTAACCGTCTGGATCTATATTTAAAAGAATTTTTATATTATATTATTTAATTTTTCAATATAAAACTTCCTTTTTCTATTCTCTCTATCTACCATACACACATGCGTACACACGTACATATATACACACACACACACATACACACGTATACACACACGTACACACCTTTACAACCACAATATCTTTATCATCATCATCATCATCATCATCATCATCATCATATCAACAATAAAATAAATATTGAATTTCGTTGTTTTCTTCTAACTTTTTGTAAACGAAAGATGGGAAACGCATTTTCAAATCAGAAAGAGTAAAAATTTTTTTTCTTTATCTCTCTCTCTCTCTCTCTCCCTCTCTCTCTCCCATTCTCTCTCACTCTCTGTCATCCTTTATTTGATCTTTCTTTTCAACTTCATTTTATTATAATTTGGCCCTCGTTCTGATCGTAATGAATGATCCGGAAGTTTAAACAACTGTTGGCTTGTTAGCTTAGATCCAATTGTCAATCATTTCTCATTAAATAATAAAAAATATAAATTTTCTTTTTTTTTCTTCTTCTTTTCAACTTTCGTTTGTCTGGATGAGGTTTTCATGTTCTTTTATGAGAATTTTCTCTTCTAATACATATATTTCCCTCTTACTATACATATACCTATACCTCACATTCTATTTCTCTGAAGACATCTCTCTCTCTCTCTCTCTCCCTCTCTCTCTCTCTCGGCCTTTCTCAATACCTATATCTCTTGTCATCACTATATACCTTCTACTCACTCTCTTCTAATTATCAAAAAATGGTCCCTTCTCTCTCTTTTTGTTCAATCGAGAACTTCTAACAATAAAACTTTGAGAATTCATTGAGCCGTGACAAACTCAAATCAACGTTTTTGATTTTATTCCTCTCAAGCATACACATAGAATCATTCAATCTTTACTCTGATGTAAAATTTAAAAAAATCAAAATCGTTAAGAGAGACAATAGGAAGGGGAAAGAGGGAGTGAGATAGAGGGATAGCTCGCAGCTAAGAGGAAAAGAGAAAGTGTTTCTCATGTTTTTCATCAATTACATTGCCAAATTAAGTGTTCGGATGTAAATTCTTTCAGATTTCTTATAACGAAAAGTTTTTTTTTCATTTCCATTCGGCTTGCTAAGCGTCGAGGAACTTTGGTGACCAACGCGCATGTTCAGCTTCACCTCATACAGTTAGGCGTGACGTGAGCGCCGTCAGTGGGTCCGCAATAGTATGAGTCCTTCGATAAGCTCAACAGTGAGGAAGCTAACTGAACAATGCCATTTAGGGCGAGTGAGGGTAGGACAAGATGAAAACCAAGTAGATTTTGTTTTTTCATCTAAAAATTTGCTGAATATTTACTGAAATTCTTTATATTATTCTTATTCTCTCACCCTCTCTATGTCCCTTCTTCCCTCCCTCCCTCTCCCTCTCCCTTTCTCTCTCTCTCTCTTTATCTTCTTCTCTCATCCTCTTTTTCTCTTTTTCCTATTTTTTTATGGAAATGTTTAATTAAAAATATTCTTTTCTATTCATTACTCATCGCTTTTTTTCTTTTCAGCGACGTCTTCAACTCGGAGTAAACGTCTGAAGTTCCGCCTCGGCGAACATTCCTACGTAGTTGACAGTCAGTTTTATTATAATTATATTTAATATTTAATATAATATACATATTGTTTCTATTTTTTGAATTTTCGATTGAAACTAAAATATAAAAGAGAAAAAAAAAAAGAAAAAAAGAAAGAAGAAAACTGAAAAAGAAATTGTTTTGTTGGAAACAAAAAAATGGGCGCGAAAATTGCATTTAGTTTTTCCAAATAACATACTTATTGTTTTAATGGAGAGAAACATGAACGAATACATAGACATATAAGGAGACATTGTTGAAAGAAGAGTTAGATTCTTCTTTAATTTGCATATCTGATGAGAAAAGAAGTTTTTGAAATAGGAGGACAACCTTCAACCATCATAACGGCTTTTCGTTCCTTCTTGACTCTCGTGAGTTGTCTGACTACTACTCTGACATCGTCAATCTCAGCTGAATACGTTTTCATTAGAAAATTTTCTTCTGTTAAGGCCAATCAGTTTTACATATTATTCATGTCGTCGTCCCTCTCTCTCTCTCTCTATCTTTCTTTTTCTTTTCCGTGTCGACACAGGAACATTCTTTAACGTCTCCTAGTACTACTACTACTGCCACTCCTTCTTGTTCCACAGATGAACATTCATAAACTCAACGACATGTTCTCTTTTTGCTCTCTAATACTCTCTCTCTCTCTCTATTTCTCTCTTCACTTTCCATTTTCAATATCTTTCAGATAGGAAAAGGGTAAAAAATTATTTTTTTCTCTCTCAATCAAAATACATTGCCATATTAAAGCTTTTGCAGTTCATTTTATAGTTTCGTGCTTGATCAAGCACATGCTTCTTCTTCTTCTCCTTCTTCTTCTTCTTCCTCCTCCTCCTCCTCCTCCTTCTTCATCTCCTGATGCTTCTTCTTCTTCTTCTTCTCATTTTCGTGAGGCTTGTAATTGGAAACTTAACAATCAACACATGTGACAAAGATTTAATTTCTTTTTGTTATGTTATCGTTTTAAAAAAACAAATTATTCATCATTGATAACATCTTGTCGACTGTGATCTATCACATCTCTCAGCTGGCTAATTATTCAGCCTCAGGCAGCATCTCACTCTTTCTCTCTCTCTCTCTCTCTCTCTTTCTCTCTCTAGTTGTTCCCTTTATCAATCATTCCGCTTTCCATGAAGAATGTTGTATTTATCTCATTTCATATTATTTTTTTCGAAATTCACACATTTGTAAGCATTCTGCTTCATGTTTGAAACCTTCCCTCTATTCCATTCCCTCCTTTGCCTCCCTTCCCTTCATCTCGTTCCCTCTCTTGCATCCTTTCTATTTTCCATATGTTTGAATCAGTCTTTTTTGTGTGTATGTAGACTTCAAACGACTATGTTCCTATAAAAACAGATTTTTTTTTGAATATTTTTTGTCTTCTGAACAAGAAGCAAACGAGGCTGATGTATGGTGTGAAGGAAGAAGCTGAAGCACGACATCCATTCGAACGTTATAGTTACTCAAATGATAGAAACTAAGAGGCTAAACAAAAAAAAAGTTGGAAGCTTAACATGAAACTGTATTGAAGTGATGATGATGGATGATGGAATCAACGGCAAAACGAGCAAAAGTTGCTTCAGGCGTCGAAGCTTAAATGAAATTTGAGAAGTTTGCCATTTGAAATTTTAACTTTCAATTTATAAAACATTTCAAATGGTAGCAAAGCAATGAAATTCCATCCATTATGTGAAGAAAACAAAAAAAAATTTTCCTTTTTAGAAATAATTCCTGAAATGTCGAAATTAACTGGTCAACAGTCAGAAGTTCCTTTCCGTTGTCAACGAATCTGTCATTCAATCACAGCTGAATGATCACCGCAAAAGAACTACTAGAAGAGATCAAAGTAGAACTTAAAGAGAGAGAGAGAGAGGGAGAGATGTATAGAGGGAGAAATGGATAGAGAGAGAGAGAGGGAGGGAGAAAAGCTCAATGTGCATTTGTGTGTCACGCGGAAAAGGAGAGAGAGAGAGATATATAAAGAGTAAGAGAAAGACTTGTCTCCGTTGTCGTTGTCGTCGTCTACTTAGTCATCTTCTAACTTCATCTGCTTCATCCTTCGAAAGCTTTTCATCACTTTTAATTCAAGCCTTCTACATAAATAGTAAAGTTGAGAAGTTTTCTCTAAAATATTTTTACAAAATAATAAGAATATAGAGAGATGGATAGATAGAGAGGGAGAGAGAGATAGAGATAGATAGAGAGAGAGATAGAGGAAGAAGGAATGAATGAGCGATGAATAAGGAAGAGCAGTAACAGAAGCATGAGAGATGGGTTAAAGCAACTAGAAGAAGATGATGTAATTAAGAGACCAAATATTATTAAAAATGGTTCTGCGTGGATATATGTGTGTGTGTGGATGGATGGATGTGTAAGTGTGTGTGAAAGCTAAAGCCCCCTATATGGATAATAAATCGTCATTTTCAATCATTTAAAGCACTTTTTTACATAAAAAATTTCTCTCCAGAGCATTGTCATGCAACAACTCGTTTTCTCTCTTCTCGTCGCTTCTTCTGTTAAACTAACGTTATACTATTAGAAAGAAGAGAGAGAAGAAAAAAAAATACTTTAAATACACTTGT